GTGAATACATTTTAAGTACATGATATACATGATAAGCCACTTGATCTCCAATATCACAGATATCTATTTTAAATGCAATAAAAAATATACAAAACTCAGCCTGGAATGCAGATTTTTTTCTTTTCTATTTTGACTCAAAATTTTATCATTAGAACATTTTTAGAGTACTAGTCCAAACACTTTTTTTTATTAGCTAAAAACACAATTTCAGCAGTCCAGCTTATGCACAGGCATGTTGTAATCCATTTCCTAATGGATTCTCAGTGTTTGTTAAATTCAAAAGGCCATAAGTAACACATAGCACGTTCTTCACGCCACACCATAGTATAAAGCCTGTTTTTACTTCGTGTTGCAGTCACTTTGTGGACAAAAGCTGGGTTTGTTCTGGTAACATTTGCATGTCCAAGATTTCCTTCTGCAAGTGCACATGAATACATTGCGGTGGTGTAAAAGTTTGTTACTGACAAATTAAGTCACAGTATAAAAATATATTGTACACCTTTATACCTAATGCAGTCCTTTTTCTATGGATAAAAAACAAAAACAACACAACTGAACAAAACAGAGAAGTTTGTGGCACCATGAAGAGTTGTATCCCAAGTTACATTAGCAGCATGATCCAACATAATATTGAAGGAGTGTTTCTGAGAATATAAACATTCATTTCTGGTTCATCTGTACCACTGAAGCTTATACAACAAAGTGTTTGATACATTAGAATAGCTCTGTGTCATTTCTAGAGTGAAATGACTTATCAAAAGACACTGCCTTCTCTCCTCGGTGGGTTGATAATATTGTTGAAGGGCCTAAGGATAATCTAAGTGTGCCTTTCCAATGTAGGTAGTAGTGACTTTCCTTACATGATCAAAAAAAAGCTCTGTGTCATCACCTGTGTAGTGCAAAACCATACAATTTTAGGTAAATCTACTTAATCACAAGAGATTATTTAAGAGATTATTTGTCTTGTAGACAGGGCTGCTGATGGTGAAAGACATGACAAATTCAACTTTAGGCACTCATGTGTCAGATTTAACAGGCTGCCATTGCTAAAACATTTAAGAGATCTCCTCCAACTTCATATGGATCTCAGTAGGCTAGAAGCAACTTGGGTGAACTGGTCTATGTTAACTCACGTACTGGGAAGACAGTGTGTTTTGAGATACGTAAACCTTGTAAAAAAAATAAACCATTGTAAAACCTTATGAAAAAGACACACACTGATTCTGTGCAATATAGCAAATTGATAAGAAAACACTGTAAAAATGTACCTGTTTAAAATACCATCTACCATTTTTTGTACACAAAGCATTATATATCAAAGGCCTACATATATAT